TCCCAAGTTTCCGTTGGAGCTTCGTTTGGAGTAGGACAGTCCACTGTTTCTCAGGTCACTTGGAGATTTATCGAGGCCATGGAAGAACGGGCAAAGCACCATCTCAAATGGCCTGATTCTAGTAAACTGGAAGAAATTAAATCTAAATTTGAATCATTTTCAGGATTGCCTAACTGTTGTGGAGCCATTGATGCTACTCACATCATTATGACACTTCCTGCTGTTGAAACTTCAGATGATTGGTGTGATCAAGAAAACAATTACAGCATGTTCGTCCAAGGAGTCGTTGATAATGAGATGCGATTTCTAGATGTTTTGACGGGTTGGCCAGGGGGAATGCCTATTTCTCGACTTCTGAAGTGTTCGGGATTTTACAAACTTTGTGAAAGTGGCGAACGGCTAAATGGAAAGGTCAGGATATCAACTAATGGAGAGGAGATTCGAGAGTATATAGTAGGTGGTGCTAGTTACCCTCTTCTTCCATGGCTTATAACTCCATACGAAGGTAATGATCTTGAAATTCCCATGTTAGAATTCAATCAAAAGCTTGAAGCTGCCCGAGCTGCAGCTGTCAAGGCATTTTCGCAACTGAAGGGTGGTTGGAGAATCCTAAGTAAGGTTATGTGGAGGCCTGATAAGAGGAAACTTCCTAGTATTATCTTGGTCTGTTGTTTGCTTCATAATATTATAATCGATTGTGGAGACAATTTGTATCCAGATGTTGTCTTGTCTGGACACCACGACTCAGATTATATAGGGCAGAGCTGTAAGCATGTTGATCCGATAGGCAGAACTATTAGAGAAAACTTAACTAAACGCTAGCAGCGTTGCAAAGAGAAGGCTTCTTGTGCTCGTACCATCTGGAACCATTGCCAAGCCGACATTCTTGTACTGATACTGTCATCAGTACAAGAATTCTGATCAAGAATGTCGGCAATGGCGCCATTTCCAAGCCAACATTCTTGCACTAGCACCATTGTCAAGCTTTATACTTAAGCTTGGTTGAATGTGTAATGTCTTAATTTTCTAC